ATTGATTGGTAAATCAAATATAATTATTGCCTGTGCTTGTGAATTGGGTCAGCAACTATTCCTTTTAGAAAACCCCCAATTAGAGATAAGAATATATTTTAACCACCATCACTTGTTTACAGTCAGTTCCACTTTTAAGACATAAACTTTCAACGAAATTTAAGGCACAAAAAATTCCCAAATTAAGGCACAAAATTTGTAATTTTTTTTTTACAATTTATTTTACTAGAATCTGAATTTTGTGCCTTAATTTGAGATTTTTTTTGTGCCTTAAATTTCGTTGAAAGTTTGTGTCTTAAAAGTGGAACTGACTGTATTGAGTTGGTTGTTGTAAACCACCAAAAGTGTAATCTTTTTATCCAATTTTAAATGTTGCCTTTGTATTGAAAAATATTTAAGGTTTTCTGAAAAAAAAAACTATTTGTGAAAATGTAATGTGTTTGTAAGAAGAGAATTGTTAATTGAAAAAAAATACCAGGTTGTGGTTACTAATGTTTCACATTTTCTTTGGAAAGTCAAATGGTTTGTATAATTTGCTCAAGAGTTGATTTGAATTGGTTTCGTTATGTGGTATGAATCATAATGAAAAAAAACCACTATCACAAAGCTAAAAATAAGATACACTTTTCCCAATCGAAAAATTTGAATGGGATCTTTTTTGTTTTTTTTTTCTGAAAAAAAAAATGTAAAAAATGATTTTTTAAGTGGGTTATTGAAACAAAAAATGATTTTCACAGACGCCAATTTCAAATGATAGTTTCCTTTACTTGTTTACTAAACAAGAACCCCTATAATTATTAATTTAATTTTATTCCTACAAAAAAATAAAATAATTACCTACAAAATTCAACAGAAAAAAAATTAAATAAAATTTTTTTGAGATAGGAGTTCATTCAAAAAATGCATTTTTCGTTTTAATTATTTTTTTTGGAATTTCTTACTTTATGATCAAACAAGTTTATTTTATTTTTTCAAAAAATAAATATTTTTTTTTGGGTTTCTCTAAAAAAGATGATTTTCAGCTTGTGAAATAATTTCTGTTGTAAAAGGGGGTTTCTTAACATTCCCTTATTAACTGTTCTAAACTTGACAAGTACCGATGTTTATTTTTATTGTTTATTATGGTCTTTTTCTTGATAAACTTTCTACACAACACTAGCATGAAAAAAAGTTTGAAATTTTTTTCATTTTTTTTTTTTTCAAAAGTTCTTTTTGAAATAAAAAAACAATAGACTATCAAAGTAATATAATAATTTATATTTTAAAAAAAAAATTAAAAGGATGTTTGTTAAAAAAACATTAAAAACGAAAAAAAAACACTCATAAAATTTTTTTAGATAATTTTTTATTTTTTTTATTTTTTTTAATTTTATTTTAAAAGCTATATTGTATATCAAAATATTTAATACTCAGCTCTAATAACAAACATTTATTTTTAAAAAATTATTTTTCAGTATTTAAAAATTAATTATAAAATATTATTTTTTTTTTTTTTTTGAAAAATTTTTTTTGCCTAAATTTTTTGAAACAATTTCAAATTTATAACTTTTTTGATTGATTCAAAACAGTTTTTTTAATCAAAATAAGTCTTTATTATCAAAATTTTAAATTGAAAAAAATAATTTTTTTTTTGAAATTTTTTTTTATTTCATTTTAAAAAATCCCATCTATGAGATTCTTTAGATGAGTACAATGTTTTGGGGTTTTTATAACTTAAAAAATCATTTTTTCAAATTTTTACCCAATTTGAAAAAAAAATCATTCTTTCGCTGAAGAAAAATTTTTTAGTTGAAAAAAAATATTTTTTTTACAGAATTTATTGAGAATTTTTGAAATTTATTCGGTGAACTGATAGAAACAATAAATTTTTGATTTTTTTATTATTAGGGGGTTATTTCGTAATCAGATAAAAAATAATTGCCCTTTTGACCTTGAATAATTCATTTTAGGGTAAAACATATTGAGTAATTCAAAATTAAATAAAAAAAAAACTAAAAGATGAAAAAATGATTTTCATATTTTTACAAAAAATCATAATTATCTCCAATTTCAATGAAATTGTATTATTGTGATTGTTTGGAACGTTTTAACTGCGTAGAAAATTTTGAATTTTAGTTTATTTATATATATTTATATGTATGTATGAACTAAATTCCAAAAAAATTGGACATAGTTTAAACATTTGAAAGAATAACAATACTGCACTTTATATTCAATTTGGAAAGAATTTTGATTTTACAAACTCTTTCATCTTTTGTCTTTTTTGTTTTGTTTTCATTTCCTTTTTTGCAAGTTAGGTAATCTTTTTCGTTAGATCTGAAAAAATTTTCAATCGTTGATAGAAAGTTACTGTTGAGTTTGTTAAATAGGAAAATAACATACAATTGGTCGATGGTATTTTAACATTTTATCGATCAACTATTGTTTGTGAAATTTCAACAAATTTACCAATGCATTTTATGTTCCGCTCGATTCATTATTTTGTACACACTTATTTTTATTTTTGAGATTTTTTTTTTTGGTTTATTGGGATTAGAATCATTATAGTTGGGAAAAAAATACCATACATTAAAAATAATCCCTGTAAATATTTTTAATTGTTAATATTAGGAAATTTGGTGTATAATTAGAGAATAATTTATTTTATTTAAAATCCAATATATTTCATAAATAACCAATTTTTTTCTGAACCTATACTAATAAACCTACCCAAAGTTCATTAAATTAGGTTTATTTCTTGAATACTCGAGTAATTGTTTGATACCATAAGTAAATCAATTGTTTTTGAAAAACAATTGTGGTTTTATAGAGGTTTACAAGAAGTTTGGAAAATGATATTTTTTATTCTTGTTTTTTTGATTGATTGAATAATATTTTTAACAAGTTTAATTTAATTAATCATCATTCTAATAAGGGGTGAGTAAAAATTTAGAAAGTTCGATTCTTAAAAAAAGTGTTTGATTTCAAATCAAAGAAATTACACGTCAATTTTTTCAATATTCACAATTAAAAAATCTTGTCTGGGATTTTTTTCATGTCAGGTATTTTTTTTACTACTTTAATTATAAAAATATTAATTCTGGGCAACTTAAATATTATTTTATATTACGTTTGTAAAAATACAATACATTGATTTATTTTTGTCTATTTTTGATTTTGGGTGTTTCCAAATTATTGGAATGGGGTTTTTATTATTTTAATCTCAATAGTAATAATCGAAAAACAATATTCCCAAAAATTGTAATTAATTATAAATCAATTCGAAAATATTCAAAAAAAAATTAAAATTTGAAGAAAAATTCAAAACAAAATTACAAAAAAATGGTATTAAAAATGAATGAAAAAAAATTCTAAAAATAAAATGAAAAAAATTGATTTTTTTTTGTATTTTAAATTGTTGAAAAATTGACAAAAATCAAGTTTAAATGTGAAATAACGTTACTGCGAACATCATCTTTTCCAAAATAAATCAATATTTATTAAGAAAAAATTCAAAAATTTTTTTTTTTATTTTTTTTAATTTGACTAGAGAGTTTTGAAAAGAGGGGTATACGATTATTAAAAAAATGAATACTGATTACATATTAAAAAAAAAAAATAGTTACAATCATCGATAAAAATTTTTTTTGATTAAAAAAATTGAAATTTTGATTATAATTTTCTATATCTCAGGCTGGATGAATTTATTTTTTTATACTAGTGAAGTATAAATTGAAAAAAATTGAATTTTTAAATATTGGATCTCTGGGTGAATTACTCATCTATCCAAAATCAAAATAATCTGAAAAATTGATTTTTAAAGTTAAGAGCTCTGTATCTCCTCTATTTTAGAAGTTATTCTCAATTTTAGATTTTTTGTCAAAAAATTTGTTTTTTTTGAAATTTTAAATTTTTCATTTTTAAAAAAGGTACATTTTAACACAAAAATAATTTTTTTTTGGTATTTTTAAGATCATCTTACTAGGGTAATTTTTCATCAAAAATATGATTTTGGTGAAAAAAAATGAAAAAATTAAGGTTTAAAAAAAAAATTTTTTTTGAAATTTTTTTTACTACTTTTTTGATTTTCTCATTTTTGATTGACTCAAATATTATATTTATAATATATTTAAAACTACAATAGTTATAAAAATTTTAATTTTTAAATTTTTTTTTTTTAGATTAAAAAAATTTTTTTTTATTTTTTTTTCACATTTCTCAAAGGTAATTATAAAAATATATAAGTTATGGTGAATATTAGTTGATAAAATGAAATATAAAAATACTTTTGAGACAGACAAAAAATTTTTTCCAAAAATTTTTTATTTTGATTTTTTTTTATGAAGTTTTCAAATTTAAACTTTATGAGGGTAAGTGGTTTCGAAAATATTTAGTATTTAAAATGGGTGTTCTTGACTTTTTTCAAAATTGAAAATTTTAAAAAATGTATATAAAAAATTTTTTTCAAATTTTTTTTTTAATGTACAAAAAATTGGTCACTTTGAAAAAAAAATATTTTTTTTAAATATCTCAAAAAAATGGTTTTTATTTTTATTTTCACTGAAAAAACTTGTTTAAAAAAATAATTTTTTATAATTGGAAAACTCTAGTAAAATTTCATTTTTTTCAAATTTATCATAAAAAAATTCACATTACCGATATTTTGAAAAAAAAAATATTAGACCTCAGCTTATTTTATCTAAATATTCATTTTTTTAAATTTTTGATAGTGTAATCACTAGAAAAATATAAAAAAATGCTAAAAAATTAAAAACAAATTTTTACTAGAGTTTCCTATTAAAATGATTTTTTTCAAAAAAAAATTTTTTTATAAGTTTTTTTCAATTCAATTTTAAATTTTATAATTTTTTTACAATTAAAAAAAAAAAAATTTTTTTTGTAACAAAAAACTTTTAGTTTTTTTTTTTTTCAAAAAAAAAATACATTAGAAAAATTACTCGATTAAAAATTCAATTTCATTATCTTCAGAATTTTATAATTTTAAAGTATCCAATAATTACTCATTAGCTCAGCGGTAGAGCACCGAGTTCTCAAAATTTGAAAAGTGTTTAGCCTGAGTTCAATTCTCGGAAAGATCAATAAAATTATTAATTTTTTTTTTTTAAATTTTTATATATATAATTTGAGCAATTAAAGTATATATGTTTTCTACCTGAATTTACCTTTAAATCTTTTCAAAATTTTTTTTTCAAAAATTAAAATCCTCTTAAGGTACCAAAATTCAGATAAATGCTGGTAACTAAGTATTTTTTTCTGTGTGGGGAGTAGAAGATTTTAAATTATTTATATATACTAAAACCAACAAAAAAAAAAAAAACTTTAAAATTCATTTTAATCTATGGAAGTCACTATATAAAAAATATAGAAACAATCTCAATTTTTCATTTTTTGGGGCTCTTATATTTTTTGATTTATTGCCCAAAATAGTTGTGAAAAATCACTATAAAAAAATTTGTATATAAAAATCAATTTTGGGCAATATCTCGAAAACTAGACGTTCTAGAGACTTCTAAACACCAAAAATCGAAATTTAAGAAAATTTTGAATTTGTTGAGGAATAAAAAATTTTTTGATCCCAGTTTTATATTTACTCTTGTGTAATAAACGAGAAAATAAATTGTAATTTGGTTGTTCTCAATGAAATTAATAACACTGACAAAACATTTAATTTAAAAGAGCCTTTCAAAAAACAATTATTGTGTACTAAAGTTATTAATTTCTATCACTAAGTAGTATAAAAGTAAATGTATTGGTTAAGAATGTGGAATAAATTAGTTCATCATATACTTGAAATACCTTGAAATTTTTAGTTAATAAAAATTACTAAATTTATTGGCCAATACAAGAGATAGAAAAAACAAATTATTGATCAAGTGAAAATCCGATAATAAGAACAATTTATATCTTTTACAATCATTTCTTACAATTTTTTTCGTTTGCATTTTTTCACATCCCAGAAACGAAAAGTATGATTTCAAACGAATTCTAGGACTTTTTCAAAAAAGAAAAAACGAAAAAACGAATTAAACGAAAAATATACAGTCAGTTTCACTTATAAGACACAAACTTTCAACGAAATTTAAGGCACAAAAAAAATCTCAAATTAAGGCACAAAATTCAAATTCTAGTAAAATAAATTGTAAAAAAAAAAATTTCCAAATTTTGTGCCTTGATTTGAGATTTTTTTGTGCCTTAAATTTCGTTGAAAGTTTGTGCCTTAAAAGTGAAACTGACTGTATATATATAAAGTGAAAAAACGCGTTTTTTTAAATTTTTCGCTGTTTTAAAACGAAAACACGTATTACCTGTGATATATATATATATATATATATATATATACAAATTGTTATATTTGATTCATTAAAAAAAAATTGAAAAATTGTAAAAAAAATAATCGAAAAGAATATATATATATATATATACGAAATTTAAATAGAGATAATTGTAGAAATTGAAAAATAATAAAAAATCAATATTTCTATATTTAATTAAGTATACCTAAAACAACAGTGGTTATTATTTTCGTTTATTTAATTTAATCTAATTAGTGATCGTTGTATGTTCATTTGGTTACAATTTCTTTTTTTTTTTTTTGGTTGAATTTGTTTTAAAACAAGTTTTTTTCAAAAGGTGTCTTCACTTTTATAATTTTAATTTTCATACAAATTCTTGTTTTTAGACCAACAATTATTAAGTAGTCGATTTGTTTTATTCTCTCTTATTCTTCTTCCCAATATAAAAAAAATTCGACCGAAAAAAAAAAAAACAATATTATTAGTTATCAGGAATATATTGTCGAAATATGCACTTTCCCTTATGAACTTATTAGTGTCTTTTTAATATTTTGGGGACCTAAATTTCCATTTCTTTTTTCTAGTTCAACTGTATTATATTGGCCAAAAAACACTATTAACAAGGGATATACGCTCGGGAAATCAAGGTAATCAGAAAATTGAGAAATTTATTATAGTCAGTTCCACTTTTAAAGCACAAACTTTCAACTAAATTTAAGGGACAAATAAAAATCTCAAATTAAAATATAAAATTTAGATTCTAGTAAAATAAATTGTAAAAAAAAAATTCCAAATTTTGTACCTTAATTTGAGATTTTTCTGCGCCTTAAATTTCGTTCACAGTTTGTGCCTTAAAAGTGGAACTGACTGTATATAAATAAATTGATATTTTAAATTCAAAACTAGTTATTATCATTTTTCTTTAACTAGAGTAAAGTGATAAAGCCCAATCCAAAAATAAAAAATTCAAAATTTCACCTCAAAGTAAAGCCTCCTATCAGGAATATCAAAATATAATTCAACTTTTTGATAATTAACTTTTTGTTTTTTCGAAATTATTTCACTTTATCAAGATTATAATCCAAAAACTTTCAATTTACAAGTTTTTACAATAAAAACCTCGATAAACTTATAATTTTATTAACTTTCCCGATTGAAGATTTTCAGAATTCATAAAAACAGTTTAAGGTAATGAAAGCTTACAAATATTTTTCATTTGGATAATTTTTAAAAAAATTACAAATAAATTCAAAAAGTTATCTTTTAAAAATCAATTTTTTTTCACCTTTATTTAGACTTAAAAAACTGAGTGTCAGGTATTTGATATTTGAAAAAAATATGAATGGGTTCATGAAACTAAAATCTTTCAGGGCTGTCAGATTGAAAGTTCGAAAAGTCTCAAAGTTAAATATATTGGTTGTGCAATTCTTATCACACAGAAAAGTTTTTTTACAATCTCTATAAAGATCATTTCCAATCGAATTTGTTGAGATCTTTGTGTTTTGTCAAACTACTTAGAAAAATTCTAAAAAGAGAAATAAAATTTTCCTCAAAGAAATTGGGATTTCTCGAAAAATACAAAAACAAACACCCAATATTAAAATTTTGCCTGAATTCAGATTTATACATCAACCCACATTTAAAACAAAATTATCAAATGATTTCTTTTTAGTCCTCATCACTCAATTCAATTCTACCTTACTTTTGTGTTGTCTGAATGTTTTCTTCGGACTTTTCTTTAGGAGCTGTCAGAAAAAGGATTTATTATTATTTGGAGAGAATTTGTAGATCATGCAAGGATAATCAAACCAATAAATGAACACATCAAAATTTTGTTTCGCTAAAACTTTAGATCCCGGAGTATATATTACTTAGTGAATTAAAAAAGCCTTAAATTGATAAAAATTATGATTTATGGAAAAATTCCAAATAAAATACTCTGAACGAATGTTTTGAACACACTTTTTACTAATCTAGCTCAACTACTTTCTTTATTTATAAATCTTTCTTCAGTCAAAAAGTGTTTCTTAACTTTATAAAATAACAATCTATTCAAAGTCTTTTGCTTTCTACTCAAAATTCGAACAAATCAATAAAACCCAAAAAAAAAAAATATTATTTTTTCAATTTATTTTTTGTTGATGTCCCTTTCTATTCCTCTTAAAGGACGATGGAAATTACTCAACAAAATTGGACAAGGAGGCTTTGGTAATACTTTCCAATTTTTCTTTTTTATTTCTCAACAACCAAATAAAATTCCAATACATTCAAAAATCCATTTAATCTCAATGTTCTAAATTACAAAAAACTTTTCGTTCCATAAAACTACCTCCTAACTCTCTATCAAACATCATTACACTCAATTCAAAATTAGGTGAGATCTATTGTGTGTATGATCTTGAAACCCAACAAAAAGCTGCTGTAAAAATGGAAAGAATTGATCGTAACAAAAGAGCGCTTCGGCTTGAAATTGCTGTTCTTAAAAAAATACAAGGTAAGAAACAGCAACCCATAAAATGAAAAATAAAAAAAAAAAATTTAAATCTTGGTTCTTCTTTTGTTTTTTTTTTAAAAATTTAAAAGCCCAAAAAATCATGCAAAAAGAAAAAAAACTTCCCTCTAAAGGAACTAAACAAAACCAGTTTTCCTTTTGATCATCAGAATTAAATTCCTAAAACCACAAAAATTTTTTTTTTAATTTTTTTTTACAAAATCCCTTCCTCCCTTATTTACCTTTTGTTTAAACCCTTTCCAAACTCAAAAGAATCAAATTTCTCAGCAAGCCTTGTTTATTGTGGAAGAAATAATGAATACAATTACTTAGTAATGGAATTGCTGGGACCAAATCTTTCAACATTAAGAAAAAAACAACCACAACAAAGGTTTTCTTTAGCAACCACAATAAAGCTCGGGGTTCAGGTAAATACTACTTTCCCAAATTAAAACCTGGATTTTTTGATCTAGCTCTTCTTGAACAGTTTTTCTTTTTTTTTTTTTTTTTTTTTTTTTACTTTCGAAATGAGTTGTTTTTCTTTTCTGAATATTTTCTTTAATTTGTCTTTTTGTTTTTAAAACCACAAACCCAAATTTTTTTGAAATCAATTTAGATGATCCATTCAATAGAAGATATTCATGAAGTTGGCTATCTTCATCGAGACATAAAGCCAGTAAGATTAGTGTTTTTTAATAAATAACCCAAAACTAGCCATCTTTCTTTCTAATTATTCTTTATTCTTTGATCTTCCTGCTTTCAAAACAAAACCAAATAAAACCAAACAAAATAAATTCATAACAAAAAAAATACTAGTCGAATTTTGCTTTAAGACTTGCAAAGAATATGAAAAAGAGAAACGGTATTTCGCCATCGTATTGTGTTATAATTGATTTTGGTCTTTCAAGAAAATATATAACTTCAGAAGGAGAATTAAGACCAGTAATAATTTTTTCACTTCTTAAATAATCAACAAAAAAAAAAAAAAAATTAAAAAAAATTTCAAACAATACTCTTCCAATCTTCTCAGAACTACACAAAATTTCTTCGTTTTGTACCAAAAATTTTCAAATACCACACATTCATTATTTGGTCTGTAGAATACTTTTTTTAAATAATTTTTCATTCATCTAAATAATGTGATTAATATTTTTGACCTGTGACAAAGTACTTTTGAAAAAGTGGACACCAAAACATTTTAAAAATTATCTATAAAAAGCTTTTGCAACACAAATAGATCAGATGGGCCAAAAATTATCAAAGTTTTGACTTTTCTCTTTTTGGAAATGACTTTC